CAAACAAACAAACAAACACAAACAAACACACACACAGACATCTTTAATACTCAGTATTAGGTGTAAGCACCAGTCACTATTAGCACTAGTACTAGTGAGGACTGACTTAACAAAGCCACTAGTAAAGCGTCACAGCTCCATATCTTACCCAGCATGCCCTGTCTGTCTGAGGAGCTCCAGCAGACGTCTGAAGGTGGGCAGAAGGAGCCGATGTCCTCCGGTGGCCAGCAGCCAGCTGTTGTAGTTCCACAGATATACAGCTGCATTAACCACCAGCCAATCCTCACGCAGCTCCGCCCCAAGCTCCGCCCCTCGCAGGAAACCACCTGTGGCGTAAGCCGATAAATCCTTGATCCAATCACTGAGCAAAGACGAAAAAGACAACCAATGATGGTTAACAGCAGCTTTACATTTACATTCAATCATTTAGCAGACGCTTTACTTTAAAGCAAATTTGTTGATACTGTAATAAAATTATTATTTTATTAGCATTTGATTTATTTGTAGTAGTAGTTAGGACCAACTTAAACACCACCAATACATTTATACGATTACAAACATTAAAAATATAATTATAGAATTATAAAACAATTAAATAAAGTGATAAAAACATAACAGAAAATAATAAATAATACATAAATTATTTATATAATAATTAAAAACAATTAAAATTATTATTAGGATCATGACACTTACATTACACTTATATTGCTCTAAAACAATGCATTTGTATTCATTTACATATAATTTGTATTGACATAACTACTGACCACATCATAGTTTATAGCAACTATTTGTTACATTTTTAATATCTTTAGAATTTACAATTATGTTTTAAATATTGATATATATATATAAATGCATAGTAATTTGGTACATATTTGCTCAGGCCAATATTTTGTAACAAAAATTCACCTGATGTAAAGCAATATCCACCCAACCTATATCTAGATACTTAATTTTGCTATTTAACTATTCTGTATTATTTTACTATTTAAATATATACTATGACTAATATATTGCTTTTTAAGATGAATTTTAATATTCTGTTCTGTATTTTTATGATCACTTGCATACCTAATTTGCACTTGCACCATAATATGTATTTAAATGTGATGCTGCAGCTTGTGTTTAGTTGCTAACTGAATCACACTGACTCTGTATGCTCTGCACAATGATAATAAAGCTGAATCTAATTCATTTGGATGGCCGACACATATTAAAGCAGCATGTGTAATAGTTTGAATGTGTTGGTGATGCACAGGCCATCTGCTGAGAGTCAAGCTTATTGTTTCATGCGGCTTATAATATGAGAAAGTCATTTAATGCATGCTGGGATGTGGAATAGTGTGATTATCTTGTCTGTTCAGGTCCACATCAGGAGCTCTGTATTACACGCTCAACATTCAACACACCCAATCAGTTTGGGAGATGAATGCATGTAATATAGAGCCAAAGATGCAACTTACATTTGCATGCCATATGAGTAAAATGAGTCTGTTATTATCTAAAACTAAAACCATGTGTGTGTGTGTGTGTGTGTGTGTGTGTATATATATATATATATATATATATTTCTCATTTTTGTTTAGTTTAACTTAATATAAATGTGATAAAATAAGTAATATAAAAGTAATAAAATAAGTAAATCTAAATAAACAAAAACTAGATTTAAAAATAAATAAATAAATAAAAAAAAAAAAAAAAAACCGAACTAAAATTAAAGTGAAAACAGAAAACATAAAAATAAAATAAAATAAATTTAAAAACATTTACAAAAAGCAGTATATCTATGATGAAATTCACCTGTACAGGTTCCAGTGGGCGTCGTCTTCAGGTGGGCGTGTCCGTTTCTCATCAGGTGCTACAGAAGAGCCGTTTAGCTCCACCCCCTCAGAGCGGAGTTTAAGGACGGTTACCTAGACAACACAATACTGTGCTTTATGGGATGCCAGTTTTAATGAGAACTTGTTTGTACTTTAGAAATTTTGTGTTATGCACCTAGAAGTCTCTATAAGTCTTTAACAACAAATGCATACAGGCACATGCATGAAATAATAGTCCGAAAAATTACATAATTTGAAATGGCATTTAAAAAAGTTTATTGAACCTTTAGACAAAAAAAAAAGGTTGCATGTGTTTTTTGTTTTGTATAATTTGATCCATCAGCCTTTTATAGCACATATAGTCGGATATAGCGAGAATATGAAGGAAAAACTGCTGCTTGTGATGTAAATCAATGAGATGTTTATAACAGTGCAGCAGATACTGACATAAAATGATGTAAATATCAGTCGTCGCTCTATATCTGCAGTAATTCCTCTTGTGTGTGCATCGTGACACATACACATCTACTGTTTTATTCCTAGCTTTATTCTGAAGGTTTTTATTGAGGGGTTTGTTCATATGTAATTCACACTGATTTATATTTAACATTTTATTCATAAAAACATGGTGAAAATGTGTTGTTTTTTTTTCTGTCTGTTGACAGTATTTTCTGATTTATGGAGTGATAAAAAGAGAAATCCAAAATCTCCTCTGAAAAAAAAAACCTTTAACTCTAATATGACAACAAAATCAGACAAGGATTTTGAATCTGGCTTTATCCAATGTTCAGATTGCTGTTCTGGAAATGTATGCAAATTAGTGCATATTTAACGGAAATGCCTCATTTGCGTATTTAAACAATATTTTATAAAACTTGTATTACAAAACAACTGTGAATAATCAGCTGGGAAAAGTATGATGATATCTATTAGTTATTTTGTATCCTACACTGTAAAAAAAAATATATATATTTTCAAAGTTGTAAATATAAGACTACTAGAGTATATTTTATTATAGCATATAGTTTTTCTACTTTAAAATGTCAAGTTTTATTCAATGTGCTACTTGCACTTCCTTTGTAATTATTTCAGAAATTTACTAGCAACTTTTTTTTGTTTGTTTTTTTTTGGTTAAAATTTCCATAAATGCTGAATTAGAGAAATCCTAAACCAATATTTTTTCAGTATATTTAGCTGTAGCGTTTTGCCTTAACTAACTTTAAGACAATTCAGTCTCAAGACAATTCTCTTCAAACTGTTGCTCTGCCATGACAGCCATTTATAATATAATATGATATGATATATGATATCATATAATATAATGTGCATTATGATAATGAGATCTGTATTATAACCTCTGAAGCAGTCATCATGATGTACAGTATATTGTATAATTTACACAGGATTTTTCCTCCGAAGTATTGAAGTGCAAACCCGATTCTAAAGGTTTCTTTGCTCATGTCAATCACAGAGTTGAATGCATACACAAATACTAACCCATAAGCCTAACCTTAACCTCAGTATAGTATAGCACTGTTTGTTGCAAGGGGATCATCGGTGATTTTTCTGAACTAGTTTGGGGGGGGGGAGAATCATGCATACTTGACACTATGTTTGATCAGAAAGAATGTGTTTGTACCTCAGCGTTGATGAAATGGACCTCGGCGAGCAGACGCAGCAGATCGCTCTGTGTGTTGGGCTCGCTCTGGTTCCTCTGATCTGGACTCGCTCTGTTCTTGGGTTCACCTGCAATCACACAGGATTCAGTCAGCAGAACTCATCTCACAGATGGAAATACGGCTGTCACACACGCCTGTAGTCTCACAAACCGGCTAAATGAGCCATATTTCAACATCAGCAGTACACAAAATGCTTTCAAACTAAATTGTATAGTCAATATTCTTAATGACCACAGATTATGATCCATACTAGTTTGTTCTGTCATGATTCCTTAATTCAAACATTCCTAAATCAGAAAAAAAGATTTACATATGGTGTAATCATTTGACATGATTTGAATGCAGCATCTAGCAGCTTGAGACATTTATGTAACTTCATCATCTGACCTCCACTTATCTGTACTTTTCAGCCTAGACTTCGAAGAAAAGCTTGAACTGAAAGGCTAAATAAATCTTTAAAGATAAGCAATAAAACCAGCAAACATGAAGTAAAAACACCAAAATCCTTTGAAAGCTGAAGTTGATTCATTCTAATATCTAGGAAAAATGCTTTCTATCTTTCTAGAATCAGATTATAAATAAGTTTGCACTAAAATTAAAACTTTTAATAAAAATGTAATTGTAAATATTTAAATGTATATGATATATAAATGTATTTTATAAATATTATTTAAAAGGTTTTTATTGAGGTTGTAAATAAATATTATTGGAGAATATTTTCTAAAAAAAAAACAAAAAAAAAAACGATTTCATTTTTTTAAACTTTCAAATTTCAGTTTAATGTAATATGTTACTTATGGATAAGCATTAAAAAAAAAAAGAAAGTTAATTGCAACTTTTTATCTCACAATTCTACGGTGGCCGAGAAGTGCAAAACAAATCACAATTCTGAAAACAAAATAACAAATTACATACGCAAATGCAAGTCTAAAAAACAAAATAACAATTCAGAAAGCACAACAACAATTCAGAAAACATTATAACAAGTCAGAAAACACAACGCCAAATTAGACATCTGCGCCACTGGAGATGATGTTTTACAGCCACTTTTAACTAAATAGATGTAAATAGACACCCCGTATTTTTTATTCCAGAGTAAGGGCAATTCATACAATACATTTAAACTGAGCTACTTTAATACCATCTCCGAACTTTCTACCACGACTCTGCTGTTCTTCGGCTGGTTCTTCCTGTATACGTTGATTGACAGATGTCTCGTCCAGTCAGCGGTGAGTAATCCCAAACCAATGGCGCTGTCTCAAACTATACCTACCTCTTCCGGTTTGTCTGATTTGTCGTTGTGTTTTCTGACTTATTTTGTTTTCGAATTTGTCATTGTGTTTTCTGACTTGTTATAATGTTTTCTGAATTGTTGTTGTGCTTTCTGAATTGTTATTTTGTTTTTTAGACTTGCATTTGCGTTTGTAATTTGTTATTTTGTTTTCAGAATTGTGATTTGCTTTGCAGTTCTCGGCCACCGTACAATTCTGACTTTTTTTTCTCGCAAGATATAAAATTATGAGCAAAAAAAAAAAATCACAATTACAAGATAGAATTTCAGAACTGCGAGATATAAATGTAGAATTTCGAAATATGAACTCACAATTTTTCGCAATCAGTCAGAATTGTGAAATAAAATGTAACAATGACCTTTTACATTTCTAATTCCATGTCAGAAACAAACAAACAAAATAACAACAACAAAAAAAGAATGGCAAGATGATAAAAGTCAGTATTTTTATATTTCATTTCATTATGACTTTTGTTTATATTTCATTTCATTATGATGTTTATTTGTATCTTTGCTCTGAGTTTACATCCTGCAACTGAGATTTATTCTTTCTCAGAATTGGAATTGTGATTTGCTTTGCACTTCTCGGCCACCGTACAATTCTGACTTTTTTTCTCGCAAGATATAAAATTATGAGCAAAAAAAAAAAATCACAATTACAAGATAGAATTTCAGAACTGCGAGATATAAATGTAGAATTTCGAAATATGAACTCACAATTTTTCGCAATCAGTCAGAATTGTGAAATAAAATGTAACAATGACCTTTTACATTTCTAATTCCATGTCAGAAACAAACAAACAAAATAACAACAACAAAAAAAGAATGGCAAGATGATAAAAGTCAGTATTTTTATATTTCATTTCATTATGACTTTTGTTTATATTTCATTTCATTATGATGTTTATTTGTATCCTTGCTCTGAGTTTACATCCTGCAACTGAGATTTATTCTTTCTCAGAATTGTGAGAAAAAAGTCAGAATTGTCAGATAAAAAGTCGCAATTAACTTTCAGAAATGTACTTGCAATTTCACAGTGTTTCTGCAATGTTTTTTTTCAGCGTATGCCATTAGTGCCACCAAACCAAACTGCAAAAATAATGATCTTGTCAAACTCAGTCAATGATGCTGATGAGAGTTTGCTCGAGACGCTCAAACATGCGTCGCAGTGTTTCAGTCTTCAGGGAAATCAACCAACGAACGACTTACAGTCCCTGTAGTGCGTCTGAACATTGGAACCTGAAATTATTTTAACATTACACACATCAACTTATTTTGAAAAATGTGCCTTTTCCAGCACATGCAGCAGCTCTACATAATTTCATTATTCCTGGCTCTCGCGGGACTCACTTACTGGTGTTTTTCCATCGTCCATCGTCATATAGCAGACAGAAGCGACAGGCCGCCTGGCACACGTCAAAAAGCTCCTGTTTCCGGGCGGTTTTGGCCAGCGAACCCCATAATCTCACCCTGACAGAGACACAAACATCACAGAATGAACACGAGAGCAAACATTTAAATCTGCGTTTCCCTCGGCGTCTTCAGCTCAGTCACACGAAATAACGAATGCCTCCTTCAGCTTTGCTGGGTTTATTCGCATGTTCCTTCCTTGTGGAAGAAAACAGAGAAGAATAAAGTTTTTCCATCATAATGAAGTCCTGGTGGGCCTGTATGTTCCTGGCCTTGAGAAATGTTCAATGATGAACTCGAGGGTGAAGCTGATGGAGGGAATTCATAGCCTGCTTTATTTTAATGAACACATACAGTACACATGGCTTTTGGGAGTGAGTAAAAATGAGCACAGTTTTTAGAAATAAGAACTATGTTGATTTGTGAGAGTGATTTCATCATGCCATACGAGTCATTCCTAAATGTAAGGTTAACATTGAGAAATAAACTCATAATTAAGATTGTATAATGTTTTTGAAAGAAGTCAAAGCATTTATTTGATTACAAATACAGTAAAAATTCTGAAATATTATTACAATTCAAAATAACTGTTTTCTATGTGAATATCTGTTAAACTGTAATGTATTTCTGTGATGTGCAGCTGTATTTTCAGCATCATTACTCCAGTCTTCAGTGTCACATGATCTTCAGAAATCATGCTAATATGCTGATTTGCTGCTCAAGAAACATTTCTGATTATTATCAATGTTGAAAACAGTCGTGCCGCAAAATATTTCTGTGGAAACTGTAATAAAGTCTAAGTAGAATAAAAAATAATTAACACTTTAATTGATCAAAGACACCTTAAATTGATCAAAAGTGACATTTATAATGCTACAAAAGATTTCTATTTCAAATAAACGCTGTTCTTTTGAACTTTCTATTCATCTGTGAATCCTGAAAAATAAAACGTATCACGGTTTCCACAAAAATATTGTGCAGCACAACTGTTTTCTACATTGATAATAATCAGAAATGTTTCTTGAGCAGCAAATCAGCATATTAGAATGATTTATACAGCTGCGCATCACAGAAATAAATTACAGTTTAACAGATATTCACACAGAAAACTGCTATTATTGTAATAATATTTCACAAATTTTACTGTATTTTTAATCAAATAAATGCAGCCCTGGTGAGCAGAAGACACTTCTTTCAAAAACATTAAAAAAATCTTCATTATTCCAAACTTTTAACCGGCATTGAAAATAATGCGTATTATAAAAGTGCAACATAAAGCATAAACACACACCTTTCTTTGTCATCTGAGCTCTTGTCAAGTCCATCCAAATGACCTTTGACCTTCTGCACACAGCTGCTGTGATGTTGGGCTTTAGCAGCGAGCAGCTCCACATGATCTCCAGCTCCATCATCTAGATCATCTAGATCAGCTCAATCCTGATCATCAGTGGAACTGCATGCATTGCCTTCAGGCCTGACGCCTCTAACGCCTCTAGAAATGACAAAATCAATATCAAGTTCATCATGAGCTTCAGGCGCTGCTGACAGCAACATCATATCAGTGTGAGGATGATGAAGAAGAGCTGAGGACAAACATTATCATCATACTTAGTGGGCGGCATGAACAAAATCTATGACTAATTTCATATAACCACAACAACATTATATTACCATGATATAGTTATTTTTGCTAGAAAGTCTATGAAAAGATAGTTGGCATATAAAACAACCTTGAAGTAAAATACTGCTCTATTAATTCGCCAAACAACTAAACTGCTTCATGCTCTGCCAAAAAAAGAACAAGAATTTGCTCACCTTTACTCATTTGAGTTGAGTATTTTCACATTACTCTTGTTTTCGTATCAGTCTCAGTTGTACAATAGCATTTAAAATTTTAACATTTTTGAAAGAAGTGTCTTCTGCTCACCAGGGCAGTGTCTATTTGATTCAAAAATATAGTCAAAAATGTGAAATATTATTTTAATGTAAAACAGCTGTTTTCTGTGTGAATATCTGTTAAACTGTAATTTATTCCTGTGATCAAATCTGTATTTTCAGCATCATTACTGCAGTCTTCAGTGTCACATGATCTTCAGAAATCATTCTAATATGCTGATTTGCTG